AATCCTACCAACCTTTTTGACAACATACATAGTAAAGAATAACATTTTCATGTTTCTAACTAGTTGCTTTTGTTTCACGGAGATACACCCTGTTCTGTGGTAGTTCTTAGAATCCACAGTAAATATTGGTTCCATGGCCAAGAGAAGATTTCCATATAATTCAGTCACTGGCCAAATTATAAACCTACTTTCTCTGCTGAAGGGTCCTGAACATACACAGTGCTGCTTGCCCTCCTGTTAGTGTTAGAAGTCACTCTGAACTAAAAGTCAAGAGCTCTGAATTACTTTCCTGGGACTGTCATAATAAAGTACCAAAAACTGGGTGGCTTGGGTCAGAAATTCTTTGTTTCCCAGTTCTGGTGGCCACAGGTTCAAAATTAATTGGTTTCTTCCTAGGGCTGCGAGGAAGGACCTCTTCCAGGCCTCTATCCTTGGCTCGTAGGTGGTCAGCTTCTCCCCGCATCTCTTCATCCCCCTTCTCTCTCCATGTGCATCTTTTCATAAGGATACCAGTCCCCCCGGATTAGGGACCCACTCTAGGCCAATGTGATCTCAGCTGATTACATTTGCAATGATCCCATTTCCAAATGAATCGATACTCTGAGGCACTGAAAATTAGAACTTCAGCATATGAATTTGGTAGGGGACAAAATTCAACCCATAACAGCTTCCATGTCTCATTTACAAAGCCAAGGCAAAGGCATCGTCGAGTATTTTGATTTTAACTGAGCTTCATCCTCTTTTACAAATATTTGTAATTCGTTTTCTAGGCGGTAGTATCTAAAGTTGAGTAAGAGGCCTCAGCAGCACACCGCCTCCTCAGGCCTTATTTATCTTTTGATTCTCAGAACCAAACATTGTGCTAAGCACAAAGCACGATTCTATAAATATTTGATTCCTGGAAAAGAGGGAAAAAATACAGGGAGGAAGGGAACGTCATGAGTTCAAGCGTACAGGTCCAAAATTAATGACTCTCATGCATGTGAATATGTTAATTTAAATGTCTAGGTTAGATATCTGGTGTGGATTCATCAGGAACGACATCCTGCTTTATTTAGGCTTCTTAGACAGGCTAGTCTAAGGGTCCCAGCCTCATCCAGGAAATCCTGAGTAAATGAGGTCTCAGAAATCCAGTTCTACCCTCTTGTTTTACAGGTAAGTGATCTTAGCAAAACATCACTGCCAACAGTCACGTGGGCAGTTCCTCTCTGAGTCAAGCCCAGAATGGCCTCTCTTCTCCCCCACTGCCCCTTCTATGACATGGTACTGTGTCTACTTTCTACACAATCTTACCAAAATGTCACTGCCAACAGTCACGTGGGCAATTCCACTCTGAGTCAAGCCCAGAATGGCCTCTCTTCTCCCCAACTGTCCTTTCTATGACATGGTGCTGCCTCTACTTTCTACAGGATCTTACCAAAACATCATTGCCAACAGTCACGTGGGCAGTTCCACTCTGAGTCAAGCCCAGAACGGCCTCTCTTCTCCCCCACTGCCCTTTCTATGACATGGTGCTGCCTCTACTTTCTACACTGTGTAAACTATTAATAATTTCTCCCAGCTTGTGAGGTTGGGAGAGAACAGATGAGTATCACAAATACCACACCCTCCACCAGCTCAAATCCTCAAGTCCATTGAGATGAACTCTCATCACGGCAGAGTGAAGGTCGGCAGTGGGAAGTTCATCTGTTAAGACATGTGCGCTTTGCAACGGTGAGCCACAGCCCTGAGGATGAGCTTGATGGAGAGCAAACCTCAGAGGTAAGAGAACAGGTGGGCACCTACATTCGAGGCTTTGATGAGCTTGACAGAGAACACCGAACCCCAAAATACCCCCTCAAGATTGGTGTGAATGCTTCTTAGCAAGCCTTTCTTCTTTGTTATGTCTCCGGGACACTGAAGGTCATGACAAATAATAACCACCACCTCAATTGACCTGGAATGACCCTTACCACATGGAGGACATTGTGCTAAGTATTTGATAGGCATAATCTCATTTACTCCTCGTGACAACACTCAGGCATAGGCACTGGTATTAATCCCAATTTACAGACAGGGAACCTAAGGAGTTAAGCAACCTGTCCGCAGTCCCAGAGCCTATAGGATTAGCCTTCCATGCTAACAAATCCAGGGAGGCTTTACAGGCCTTACAAACATTAGCCAGGTGACCTAAGGCAAGTCACTCAATGTCTCAGAATTTCAGTTTATAATGTCAGTTGGGGATCATAATACTTGTCTTGCAGGTATGTCAAGCAGACTAGATATAACACATGAAAAGTACTAAGCACAGAGTCTATCTATATTGCATCAAATTCTTTCTACAGAGAAGCTATTTTCTTTTCCTGTTATCTTCATTTACTCCACAACCTCATGTGAGAAGAAATATGTTTCCTAAACCGTCATTAGAATAATATGAAAGGAGGGCACAATGAGGTCACAGGGAGGCCATGGGGTTATGGAAACAGCAAGAGACCCCAAGACTGTACTTGTCCCAGCTTGGTGCAGATCTGTCTAGCCAATGGAAGACAGGCTATGATCCGTGCCGTAAAGCTAGACAAGGATACGATGGACTGGATGGTGGAAAGCCTCAGTTGACCTGTTAAGGGTCCTGAACTCCACCAGGATTCCCAGGGGAACACTGAGTCACTCCTATATTAATGAAACCACTCTTACAAACTGATAAAGGTGAGAGAGAGCTAGAGTAAGGGCCCCCCAAACTCTGTGAAGAAACAGGCCTGGCAAAAATAATGAAAATAATCCAATTCTGTGAAGGAACAGGCTTAGTTAAAATAACGAAAATAAATCAGCCACTCTTCCTTTGTTTGCTTGATAATAGTCACTGTCCCCATGTTTGCTTCTGTATAATTGCTACTCTAGAGGGCACAGCTGGTAGTTGTAAAGATTCTTAACTCTTCTCTATAAATAACATCACCTGCTCAGAATCTCAGGGGAGTTTTTGAGATAGCTTCCAGGTCCTGCCTTCCAGGGGATTAACTGACCCACCCAGGTGAAGGTACTGACACAACTGGTCTCGGACCTCCACCCAGGTTCTGCATTCCAGTAACTGAGCCACCTAGAGAGAGGCGGGGGTCAACACAAGGACTAATGGTTCCGCCCTGAATCCAGCCAATCAGCAGACCCTGATGGCCTAATCTTTTGCCCACTGAAATGGGGGCAAAATCTCTGTCCCTCCAATTCTTGGGGAGGCAGATTTGAGAAGTTTCTCCCATCTCCCTGCTTAGTGCTTTGTGGAATAAACTCTTCTGTGCTATAAACCCTGCTGTCTGTGGATATTGGCTTTCTTCTGGGCAGTCGGCAGCGACACTAATACAATAGCCATGGCCTGGAGCATTTATAGTGCACCAATGCCAGCATCTTACATATTATTGTTCATCTATCATCACAGCAACACCAAGAAATGGGGATTATTTTGCCAATTGCAATAGAGGAGGATATAAACCCAAGTCTGCTTTATTTATAAGCCCATGACTTCAAAATACTATATATATATTGGTTGCAAGAGACAAAAAGTCAACTCAACCTATTGTGAGCAAAGGGGAAATTTTATTATGAGAATATTTCACAGAGTTTCCTCTTTGTAAAAGACCTCTCTACATTTCCTCAGCCCTTTTGTAGAAATAGCCATTCTATATTTCTGAAGTTATCGGCTACTGGTAAAATCTCTCATGAAGGACTCTTTTCAAATACTCAGGAGAACAATCTTATTAGTCCAGCTGAGGTCAGGTGTCTTCCAATGTTTGTTCTGGTTGGGGACCAGCACAAAGTGGCCAGCAGGATCCACCCTGTGATTAGCAGATAGTAGAGAAAGGAGGGATCGGGGGTGGGTAAACATACAAAAGGTATCCTCTGTAACTCCTCTGTTTTCCTACAGACAATCAGGCACTTTTTTTATTATAAAACACTCAGACCAAGTATGGTCTATATCAAATAAAGATTAATAGAAGAATATGTAATAAAGATGTTCAGTAGCAAAAGACACTGATTAAGGGAAATTAGTAAATCTGGAATGTGAAGTAGCCAGCAAATTACACCAGACCAATCTACTCGTGGAGGTTTTATATGTTGTTGAGTTCCACAGCAGTGCTTGTCGGTAGAAATTAAATGCAGATTGCATGGGTAATCTTAAATATTCTTAGTTGTCACATATTCTAAAAAGTTAAAGGAAAGAGATAAAATCATTTTGGTAACACATTTTATTTAGCCTGACATCCAGAATAATATTATTTTAACATGTAATCAGTATTAAGTGTTATTAGTGAGACATTTCATATTTTTTGTACTAAGTCTTCAAAATTGAATGTGTATTTTACATCTCAGTTTGGATGCTGTATTTTTATTGGATGCATCTGATCTGTATTTAAATATTCTAAAGCTTATAGTTTAAAAAGTAGGCCCATGATGACATGTTTCATTATTTTACATTATGTCTTATTAGTTATATGGGGTGGTTTCTGGTTATTTCTCACTGAGCTGGTTTATTACCCAGGCTGCTCCGTGGTGGGATTGTAGGCTCCTACCCACAAAGGAAAAAATAGCGACACGAAGATGCATTTGTTTACCTCTTTGCTTGGTCATGTAAAGACAAATAATTTTTTTTCATAGATTGACTGATCATGATGTTGATAACGTCTGAGATCTTTATTTTTACTTTTTTTAACATTGAGAAAAATCAAGTTTCTTTAGGAGAACTCTCTTCTTAGCCTCCAAAATTCTGTGCTTGTAAGGGAAGGAGGGTCAGGAGATGCAGACAGTGCAAATCACTGGTGACAAAATGCAGCCGCTTTTGTCCCCTCCTGGTAATTCTTATGGACAGCAGGTTTTAGGAAGGAAACAACCACCCCTGTAGAGAGTTCCCAGGCAAGACTTTCAAACAGAATGATGGTCAAGAACTTCTGGCAGAAGCCACCTGGGCAAGGACCTATGAGGAAAGTCACATGAGGCTCTCACGTGCCTGCAGAAACCCTACGTTCAAGCTGCTCTCACGCTTTCCTCTCCTTGGTATGGCTGGGCCTGGTGCGGCCTCGGCTTTTCTTGTTCTTGTTATTAGTGTTTTGATTCGGGGAGGGAAGAGACAGCTCCAGTTCCCTTTTCTTGGCTTCCCAGTCTCCATCCCGGTCATCCAGAGGCAGCCCCTTCTGCAGGGCAGCACGGCGGTGGTCCTGGCACTCGTGCTCAGCCCTAGGAAAGAAGAGGGCAGCTTCTGAACACATAGCCGGGGAGCCAGGCCCAGCCTGGAGCCGGCCTATCTTCCTGCACGCTGCACACCCCTAAGGCAATTCTGCAGTCCGGTGCAGAAGGAAGGAGGCCAGGTGTGAACATTTCCCAGTGTACACGTAGGGAGCCCCTCACACACTAACGGAACTACTTAGAGGGAGAGAAAATGATGTGAACGGAGAAGGCTGTTACACTACGTTGACTCAAAGACAGTCACTTAGCTTGAGGAAGATGCTGCTAAGTCTTAAAGTGCTCCCATTTATAAAGCAGCCTGTGCATTGTTGGGAGGCTGTGTCCATCATTTGTTTTTAATTGTATTGTTCCTAATTACAAGAATGAGGTAAGTCCTTGGTATAAAATCTAAAAGTACAGAAACATAAGGAAGAAAATAAAAAGCACTCATAATCACATATGTATTGTATGTAGGGATAGATTATGTAAAATTATACAGATAATTATAGATAGATTGATGGATAATAGATAATCATACACATGTGGGCAACAGGAAACTTTGTATATGAGGCCAAAAGTGAGTACCTGACTTGTTTAGAACCATTGGTTAAGGTCACTTCGTAGAGATAAAATCTGAACCAACATGAGAACAAATGGAATCTGAAAGGATAACTGATAGTGCTGGGAGAACGGGGACTAAAGACCCCATTCTTGGCAAAGGAAAGCACCCCCAGAAAAACAGGAAAACTAAAAAGTGAGCTGAGTGAGTCAGAACAAAGAAAAGTCAGCCAGTTTACTTTTAAGCTAGCCATTGGCATCAAACTTCTTGCCTTTTCTGAGATTCTAATCTGTTGGGGATACAACTTACAAATACCTGCTGGGTCTGCAAGCCCTCTGAGGAGAAAAATGGTCATAGAAGAGGGTATGGCAAGTCCTAAGAAAAGATATACATCTTCTGGGGTGTTTCCTGCCCCTTAAATAGGCAAAAGCAGATACCCATCATGGAGATTTGCATTTGCTTGGAACAGAGACCAAGGGAGTGGCTCTCAAGCTCTGAGATAGGGGCAGAAGAGCTTATATCCCTTTTGGCAGAGGAAAATCCTCTGTGGTGGTGATGGGAGGAAAATGCCTCCCTCAGAGGAGATTAATGCTGGTAGCGTTTTACTCCACAGAGAACTGGTGGGGTTTAACACCTCCCCAGAAATCTGTGTGTGTGACCTCAGGCAGGAGGCTCTCCCAATACAAGGCTCAGATTTCAGATTTCTGAAGGCTACCCTTAAGGTTAATTATAATAACAATAGAAGCTGATGTGATCAATCCGAGAAACTGCTGACATCTTTGATCCCTCCCTCATCTTGCCCTCTGGGCGAATAGACTTCAATATAATCAGAGTAGTGCAAACACTCTGGTCCTTGCTGGAATCCCTTCCACAGGTCTCAGCGTATGCTGCTCTCGGGGCAGGACCCGGACAGATAGTGCGGGCAGGGCATATAGCATCTTAAGTGCAAACCCTTATAAAAAGTGTGGTCCCTTCAAAGCACAGCAAACCTACTTGTCCCTCATCACCCTTCCCAATCTGACCTTCTAATCTTCAGCCCACAGAGCATCCCCTCTGCCTTGTCCCTTTCCATCTTGTATTTGTGTGACTTATTTAGGTGATTTCCTCTCCTAGACAGGGAATTTCTTGATGTCCAGCACTGTATCTGATTTATCTTTGGGCCCTTTTTAGTGTCTTACTCAATGACACGCATGTAGTAGGACTCAAAAGCATTTGCTAAACGAGTAGTTTATCAAATGGGGAGGCTGAAAGCTGAAGTGTTCCACAGTGATCCCCAGGATATCAGAGAAGTATGAAATGCTGGCTTACACATCTTTTGAATTCTCCTATGTCCATTTTCTTCGTCCTCCTAGCCCAAGCGCTCACATACAACATGAATTCTTACAAAATTCCGTAAGTGATCTCCTTGCCCGAAGTCTGTCTTCACTCCTCCCTACACCCACCACTGGCACTCACCCCACCACATGAGTCAATTCACAAGGCATTGATGGAGTCCAACTTGTCAGTCCCCTGATGAGTTCACACTCAGCTGCTTGCCAGGTTCATACGGCCACCCACCCACTCACCCACCCTTAACCTCTGTTCCTCTCTAGCATGAGTGAATGTTCTGCTTAGCCAGCCCAGTCACCGCTCTCCTCTCCCTCCTCCACCCCTCCACCTCCTCCATGGACAGACTGCCTATGCCTGGCCTTCCAAGTCGGTGCCTTCACTCCTAACCAACAGTTTCTCTCTCTCTTCCATTAGCCACATCTTAGCTATCTTTCAAGATCCAAATTAATTTCCCTCTCTACCAGTGGTGTCCAGCCTGGAGCGTGCAAGCTACATGCTGATTTTGTGAGGACCTTAGGAGAAGTCCTTTAGGAGAACTTCTCCTTCTTTAGAGGAAATCACCTAAATAAGTCACACAGATACAAGATGGAGAGGGACAAGGCAGAGGGGATGCTCTGTGGGCTGAAAATTTAAAGGTCAGATTTGGGAGGGGTGGTGAGGGTCAAGCAGGTTTGCTGTGCTTTGGCTGGACCACGCTTTTTATAATGGTTTGCACTTAAGATGCTATATGCCCTGCCCATACTCAAGTCCTTTAGGAGAACTTCTTCTTTAGGAGAAGTTCCTAGTGGGAAATTCTGGTTAGTATTATAGAAATGTGTCCCACGTTAAGTGATTGACTTTTTTTTTTTTTTTTCTACTCATCACTGTCTGCCTACTTTCCATGGTAATACAGTTCCCAATACTGGGGAGAGGGCACTCCTCCTCTGCTTCTGTTAAACAGCTGAGATCATATATCATGTTCTTCCACCCACACAAGTCACCAGGGAGGGGTTGAGATTACCCAGGAAAAGTCAGTAGAGGACAGCCAAAGATAGGACCGTGAGGAATTTCAGCATCTCAAAGGCATGCAAGAATAAGTCATGAGATTTACTCTTAGGAAAAGTGTCTGTGTATTTAAAAACATGAGATAGGGTCAGAGAGGTAGAAGGAAAACTAAAAGAAAGTAGCATCAGATAAAGAAAGAGAAGAGTTTCAGGAACATCAAATGCTGGAAGGAGAGGTAAGATGTGTACTGAGAAGAGTCCACTGATTTAGCAACAAGGAGCTCCCTGGTACCTTGGGTGAGAGCTGATTCAGTAGAAGGATGGGGGAAAGAAGTCTAAAAAGTGAGTGAGAGGGGAGAAGGGAAAGACAATTGTGCAGATTAACCTTTAAGTAGCTTAGAAATGTAGGGAAGAATAAATGCACGGCAGAAGTTGGGGGGCCTTTACCAGTTTGTGTGTTTAATGGAATCTATTTGAACATGACCACACACCAAAAGGAAGCCAGGGGAAGGAATAGAAAAAAATAAAATTACAGGAAAAATAATAAAAATACAACAAAAAATACATGAATGATGGTCTTGTAGAGGATATAAAAGATGGGACCAGGGATCCGTATGGAGGGATAATGCTTTTCACAGGGATAACAAGTCAAGAAGGGATTGATATTGGTGTATATAAAAATCTATAGATATAGGGGTTGAAAAAGTGCCCCACATGGCTTTAATATTCTCTTACCTCTGAGAAGCTGAGTATATAAGGACTTGGAATTATCGAGGAGAGTAGGATAGGAAACATAGCCCGTTTGCTCTGAGCGCTCAGCTACAGATGGAAATCACAAAACTTTGGGGAATATCTGTCTACTTATTGTGGAAATTTCTCTAGCTGACCAGGTATAGAAGTGGGGACAACAATAAAGATTTATCCAAGGGTGGGAATTCTGGGATACATGCTACAGAAGAACCAAAGGTTGGGAAGTTAGGACTGGCAGGAAAAGAGTGGAACAAATAGTATATCACAGTGTCCAGATGGTAGGAGGAAATTAGTGGAACCTTCCGGCAGGCGATACACTTGGAGAAAAAGGAGAAGTTGGATAACAAAAGATCTTGATGTCTTCAAAGACCAGTGTGGTGACCCAGGAACTGATAAAATGAAGGGAGCTCTGATCGCACGGTGTTTCAGAGTTTCAAAAAGTTCAGAGAACAATGTCTGCTGATGCTGAGGCCCACAACCAGTGGGGGTGACTGAATGTCGGGGTAATAGCAGAAACTGGGAAGAAGAGAGTCTAGGTCAGGATTCAAGCAAAGTTCTGCCTCTCTACTCCCCAAATCTCCTGACTTGTGATTTTGGATATTTTTAATGTGAGGCATTACCTTTACGAGAGGCTCGTTGGGTTACTTCTACATAGAACCAATCTCATCACAGACAAAGATCTTATTAATTTGACATTCTGAAGATAACCATATTTTGAAGTTCTCAGGAGGACACTTCACTGTTACCCTCATTTCCTACCATGAAGTGCCCCTCCAGATAGATTTGCTGTCTGTCTTATTTGGTTTGCAATGATTCCCCCCCACCCATCTTAGTCTACTTTTTCTTGCATGAATTACTTGTTGACCCAATCAAATTATTCCTAAATTTCACTTCCATCCCTCTCAGATATATACCTTTTACATACATAACCCGTATTTAATTATGTTCAAATGTTTGATCAAATGAGCAAATGCTAGACAAGTTCTTATCTTTGAGGTGTGGATAGGTAGAGGGTTCATAGATGAACACAGAAGTTTTGAAAGTTCCTTAAAAATAGAAAAAGTGTAGTAAACTGGCCTCATTTTAAAGATGAGGAAACTGAGGGTCAGGAAGGTGACTTGACTTGCACAAGGTCACACTCTTTGAATACCTCTTGAAAAGCTGAAGGAGGTCACGACATGTCCCATATTAAACTTGATCTCTCAACTCTGTTATCTGAGATCATTTTTGTATAATCTAAATAAGAGATCAATATTAATTAAGTAACTCATCTAAAAAATCAATAAAAACAATAGTCCCTTGTCTAGATTCCTTATTTCATTTTCATTCACATTAGATCAGTGTGTCAGCCAAGACCTTGATCAGAGACTCCTGTTTCTCTACTCCTTCTATAGGTAAAAGGAAAAGAAAAGAAAAGAAAAAGTTAAACTTACTTCTCCAGAAATGCCACACAGGCTTTCTGCCCATAGATCTGTGCAATCCTCTTTGGTGTGTCACCGAAGAAGTCCGGGGCGTCGATGGCTGCGTGCAATGCATGGAGGGTTCTGAGGACGTTCAGATGGCCTGACTCGGCAGCAAAATGAGCTGGGGTCCAGCCCACATCCGTTACCAGGCAGGGCCTGGCTCCATATTCTATCAGGAGATGCACCACATCCATTTGCCCTTATATGTCCCAAGAAGAAACAGGGTAAACATAAGATAAAAATGCCTATGGTATCCTGAGAGCAGGGCCAACCCAGGTAACATAACAGAAGGGAAAAGTGCCTATGAAGAGCCTCCCATTTCCTGTCATCAGCCCTCCCCACTTCTGCTTCTTCTCACCAGACTCCATGCTTGACCCTCACCCATGAACCCTGCCCCACCTGGAACCCGAGCCCTCCCAGAGTTCCCAGTACTCTTCCCAGGACCCCCTTCCCCATCCCCTGCCTCAGGCCCTGCCACGGAATCTGCTTTCTCTTTACCTATTGCAAAGGCTCATTCTGCTTTAGGCAGTCTCAATGCTGACTTCAAAAACGAATATTTTTTTAAGTCCCACTTAAATTCCAGCAAGCACAGGCTAAGAACACAAGCTGTCTGGTGGGCAGATTGAGTTCATATCCTAAGAATACCGCTTCTTGGTAAGTGGCACCTTGGACAAAAAACAAATGTCTAAGGCTCATTCTCTTCCTTTGTAAATTAAGGATATTCCTCATTGAATCCTTGTGGAGTACAGATGAAATCACAGACATGAGGGGCACAGCACAGTACCCAGCACATAGCAAAAGCTCACTAAAACGTGCTTTAGTACTTAGAATCCTGCAAAAATATTCCGACTAATTTCTCCCAGCTGGTTTTACTCGTTGCCAACCCATTCTCCACACAGGAGTCAAAACAAAGTTGGAAAAAGTAAAACTGACTGTAGCACGTTGTTACTGAACATTCTTCAGTGGTATTCTGTGCCAAAGCCCTCAACAAGCCCATTGGCTGAGTTTTTGCAACTATCCTCCTCCAATTCTGTAACTGAGCCATGATAGGCAAGGGGATTCCATGATGAATGAAACAAAGTCTCTATTCTTCTCTATGATGTTCCATTCCTGGTAGAGGTTGGAGAGGGCAAAGGGTTAATATCAACTGAGAGCAGACTATGTGCTATGCACCGTGTACCCATTGCCTTTCTTTCTGAACCCCCATCATAGTACTCCAAGGTAGCATTCCTGCTCCTATTATATAGATGAGTAAACTGAGGCCCAGCAATATTAAATAACTTTCTTAAGGTGGGACTATTAGTAAGTGGTAGTATCAGGATTGAAATGTTCCAGCTGGCTCCTAAGAAGTGTTCTTTCCACTCTTCCGTCATAAAGCCTCTGACTGATATCCTCGTGAACGGTGGCCTCAGAAGGAGGGCTCTACCCCGGCGTTGCCCACTCACCTCTGATTGCAGCCCAGTGAAGCGGGGTCCGGTCATTCCAGTCTGCATCTTTATAGTTTGGGTCACAGAGCCCTTTCTTCAAAATCTTCTTCACTAAATTGTAGTCCCCTGCAGCCACAGCCTGGTGGAGCTTTGTCATGTCTGACATTTTGGCCAACTCCATGACAGCAAAGAACTGTAGGGGAGACGAGCCACTTAGGGAGTTCTGCACAACCCTTTATGTAATGGGTCCATGGACTTCTGTATCATTACTTTTCCTTCCTGCCTCATGGCTGCATCTAGGTTGATTCCGATGTGTGCTCTGCTGAGTGCGTACTTAGGTCCTAGCTATTGTGATCAGTGCGTGCCAGTCTCTCACCCCAAACTTCTGATACCCACAGAATTCTGTCTAAACTCATGAGCTGACGGGCCCCAAACCTCCTTCCAAGCCTCCTTCCAGTGCTGTTTCTTATTCTTACCTCAAAGTGCTAGCAGTAAAGGAGTAGGGTGCTGGCCCCATATGCCGGAGGTGGCGGGTTCAAGCCTGGCCCTGGCCAAAAACTGCAAAAAAAAAAAAAAAAAAAAAAAAAAGATAATGGTATAGTTACATCTTAACGTTTTTATTTGTAGAAGTACAATGTGCAGGGTTATTGCAAAATTGTCAATCCACATGAAAAGTTTATACTGGATACAGAGCAGGTGCTTTATGCAATTAAAAACCATTAATGGCTCGGCGCCTGTGGCTCAAGTGGCTAAGGCGCCGGTCACATACACCTAAGGTGGTGGGTTCGAATCCAGCCTGGACCTGCCAAACAACAATGATTGCTGCAACCAAAAATAGCCAGGCATTGTGGCAGGCACCTGTGGTCCCAGCTACTTGGGAGGCTGAGGCAGGAGACTTGCTTGAGCCAGGAGTTGGAGGTTGCTGTGAGCTGTAATGCCATGGCACTCTACCCAGGGAGACAGCTTGAGGCTCTGTCTCAAAAAAAAAATTGTCATAAATTAGTAGTTCTCAAACTAATGTTCTATAGACTCTTAGAGATCTCTGGGGCCTTTCCAGGAGATCTGAACTATTTTCATCATATTAAAATGTTACTTGCTTTGTTTGCTGTGTTGACAATTGTCCTGATGGTTTAAAAGAAATGGTGCAGAAAACAGGGGGTGCCTGTGTGCAAAGCAAGGCAGTGATGTAAACTGGACTAGTAGTCATGCTGGTCACCACACAGACACAGTTAAAAAGAAAACGAACAAGCCACTTTCACAGGGCTATCCTAAATGGAAAAATTAGAATTATTTTTATTGAATATTTGCCTTTGATGATATGAGTAGATAAATGTTATTTTAAGATTGTATAATAAAATGTGCAGTCATTTGAAAAATAATCACCATCCCATGAATATTCTCCCATTATATAGATGAATAAACTGAGGCCCAGAGATACTAAATAACTTTCTTAAGGTGGGACAATTAGTAAGTGGTAGTATCAGGATTGAAACATTCCTGCTGGCTTCTAAGTTCTTTCCACTCTTCCTTCATAAAGCCTGCTGACTAGCATCCTCATGAATGGCGGCCTATATTACAAGTATAGGGATATTACAAAAATGCATGGGTAAAAAGATCTATTTGTAAGAGACAGTGGATTTTAGTTGAATAGAACATAGAAAATGCATTGATATTATTTCAGATTCCACATTGCAGTTGTAACCAAATCAGACTAATCTGGCGCGATTTTTATGTAACAAAATTGTGAGTTGTTTTTCAGTTGCCATGATCCCTCAGGTTAAAGGTCCTGTAACCTGAGCATGCTCAGATGAATCAAGCCTTCAACCACTGGCAGAACCTCAGTGCTTGAACTAAGGAATGGGGGCTGAATGACAAAGGAGACGCCCCATGGTAGGATCCAGTCAAATCAGCCTCCACCTTCATTGCAAGATCCAATCAGATCACACCTCATCACCCTTTCTTTGTCTACAAACAGAGCCCAGCCTCCTTACTCAGGGACACACTGTTTGGGGAACTATCCCCAGGGTTCTCCTTACTTGTGTTAACTAATAACCTCCCTGGCTGTAAACGACTTAGCCATATCTATTGGCCTGATACTCGCCAAGTGAACAAACACGAATATCGGAGAACTAAAAGAATATCCACGATTAACTAAAAATTAACTACTCCTTTTCCAACTTCACATATGTATACATGTGTGTGCATAAAGCCAGATTTCCTGAATATACTTCAACAAAACAACAAACTGCATGAGGAAGCAGATGGGAGAACTCAGCCGTCTTCTATTAACCAGGTATTAAAGAAATTGAGGGAGGCGTGGAGAAAACCGCTCTTCACATTACTTTTGTTTTGGAAAATATAGTTCTTTTCTTACAAATTATGAAATTAACTGATATATATTATGGTGCAATGAGTTTATTATAGTTTTTAGTGAACTAATCAACATTTAATTTTTTTCTCTGTTTTAATTTCTAATAGAGTAATAGCGACAGCTATAACCCAAATAAACAAAAACTCTCTGGAGTTCTCGATAATTGTTAAGAGTGTAAAGAATTCCTAGGACCAAATATTTGGGAACTGCTGATATAAATAAATAAGGCGCTGAGCTAGAAAACAAGAGAAGGGACAGAGCCACTTGAGAAGGAGCCACTGGTGATGGCTCTTTGGCCTTAAGGTTTAAGTTGAGATCTCAAGAAAGAGCTGGAGTCCCTGCTACCAATGGTGACCAGCAGCAGCAATATCTTGAGGAACTTGCTAGAGATGCAAATTCTTGGGCTCTGCCCCAGACCTGCTGAATCTGAAACTCAGGTGAGTCTGATGTACACTGAAATGTGAGAAAGGCCTTGGAAGGAGAAAAAGAAAAGTAAACGTAATTAAAAAGCAATGCCCTAAGCGCCCAGGGCACGGAGAGAAAGAGTCTTTGTGGAAGAGTGGACAATAAAAGGAGCTTTCATCTTAAAACGACCTAAGCTGGGTCCCAAAGGGATGAGTCGGTGACATCCTGGCGACTGAGAGTGATAGAGGCTCCCAAGCCCAGGCAGGCACCACAGGTGTGTGGCCGGGAGGCACACAGCAAAATGCAAGTAGTTCCAACTTCAATGTGGAGATCGACAGTTGACCAAACTCTTTCTGCAAAGGGACAAATAGTAGATATTTTTATGCCAAGGAGCAAAATTGAGGCTGTTACGTAGGAAGTTAATAGGAGAGAAAACTCCTGCCCCACCTTGTCCCATTTGCCTGGGGTAGATCAGTGCCCCAGCCTACCCCCCACCTTATGCCCAGTAACCATCAGCAGGAGACATTCTCAGGGGCAGTCCTGAGGGGGGTATGGTCAGTTTCATTGTCTGCCCTAGTAACATCCAGATCCCAGCCAGCAACCCCTCCTCCTGGAGAGGCCATCTCAACTTGACAGGTGGCCAGATGCAATTCCCAGAATCACAACTCCCATACTGAGATTCCAGTTCTTGGTCCCAGCCTGTGCTAAAAGCAGAGTCCCTAGCATGTAGGTGGTGACCAGAAGGAGGGCCCCGACAGCATCCAGGCACAGCTATGGGCCTCGGGGGCAGTGCTGGGAGTGGATGGGGCAGTACCGGCAGAGGGTGCTGCCGGCTTGCTTCTGGGAGTCATACAGCCTCTCGTGGTGCCATTCAAAAATGGGTGAGGCAGATCTCTGGGGTATATAAGTCATGTGCTAGAATACAGGTTCTGACTTTGTAGGTCTTGATGGGGCCCGAGATTCTGCATTTGTGACAAGTTCCCACAGCAGCTACTAATTCCTTCACAATGCTTTGAGCAGAAATCTCTCTCTCCCTGGCTGAAAAGTAGGGGGAGGTTGGGCAGGGAGCAAGATTGGAGACCTGAGGAGGCAGTCAGGATGTAGCAGTCGCTTTCAATGGAGGGACTACATGAGAATCACTAGCGGGTTTTTAAAAATATAGATGCCTGGGCCTCAGCCTGAAGGGATTCAGAATCTCTGAACAGGAGCTATGTACTATGTTAGATAAGGGAGAAATAGCATAGACTGAATTCTACTATTAAAATTCATTTTTAATAGAAAACTCTTACACTGAAGTATTTGGTCAATGACAAAATGGTAAACAGAAACACTAGATCATTTGCAATCTGAGCATGTCACTGAAAACAAAACCATTTTGAGAATTGCTGCTAGAAGCCTTTTCGTTTGTCTTTTGTACAAGCCTTCAACCAACTCCATTTGTTCCACATATGATTCCAAAGCAAGGAGATTCCACAGCTTCCCACGGGTGAGTTGCCATTCAACTAGAAGTTTTCATCAGAATTTATTTCCAGAAAAATGAAAAAGCCTATCCTAAAACATTGTATGGAAATGCAAGGGACCCAGAATAGCCAAAACGGTCTGGGAAAAGAACAAAGTTAGAGGACTCATACTTCCGAATTCCAAGAAGCGTACCAGGACAATTCAATGCGAAAAGAACAGTCTTTTCAGCAAATTGTGCTGAAAATGGATGTGAGAATGAAGTTGCTTCTCTTCCTCACAAGGACGTGTTCCTGTGTTTCCCTCTAAGGATTTTGCAGTTTTAAGTCTTATATGTAGGTCTGTGATCCATTTTGTGTTACATGGCACACTTACATGTAGGACTGTGATCCATTTTGTGTTAGCTATTACACATGCCACACTTATTAGGAAACAATTGAGCATAAATGTGTTTATTTCTAGACCCTCAACCCCGTTCCCTGGCTCTGTATATCTGTCCCTGTGCTAGTACCACACAGTGTTGGTTCCTCTAGCTTTGTAGTAAGTTTTGAAGTTGGAAAGTCTACACAGAGACTGAAAGCATATGCTCGACATGCATGTTTATAGCATCATTCATAACAGGCAAAAAGTGGGAACATCCCAAGTGTCCGTCAGTGGATGAATGGATAAATACAATGTGAGAAATCCACGTAATGGAATATTGTTTAGTGATAAAAATGGAATGAAGTACTGGTACAGGCTTCATCAATGAACCTTGAAACATGCCAAGTGAAAGAAATGTGTCCACATATGTGGAGTGTCCAGAATAAACAAATCTATAGAGGCAGAGTGTAGATTACTAGTTGCCTAGGGCTGGGAGTTGGGGGAGTTATGACTGCTAGTAAGTACAGGATTTCTTTTGGGGGTGAGGAAATGTCCTCAGGTTAGATCATGCCATGGTAGGTGATGATTTCACAACT